CAGTGGGGTTATACTCTATGCTTTGTTATGTGGAACACTTCCATTTGATGATGATCACGTGCCAACGCTATTTAAGAAGATATGTGACGGTATCTTTTATACCCCTCAGTACCTGAATCCATCTGTAATTAGTCTTCTGAAACACATGCTGCAGGTGGATCCAATGAAGAGAGCAACAATCAGAGATATTAGGTAAAGCACTAACCAATGTCTGATCGCAGATGCTAAAGTGATCCCAATGCAAATATGCAGAATGGAGAAATTATTCATACAGCTTGTCATTGTTTTCTAATCTGAGATGAAAAATTCAACTGACTTTGGGTTTTAGCTTTGACAGTTCTGCGCTCCAGTGGCTGGTGAAGTACGCACAAATATCAAACAAATGTCAAGTATCAAACAAATTCATATTGCATATAGAAATTCTGAGAAACTCTAGATCTTAGATGGCTCTAGCAAAACTTCACCTTGTTATATGCAGAATGGTTTGCAAGAACTGTGCTGTATTGAGTTCTCTGGGTGAAAGATTTCTTTGCTGTTCAGAACCACCATTCTGTACTTTAAATGTTTGAGGGGAACTTTTGTTTTTTCTTTAAATATAACAACTATTACTTTTATTCATGTTTCTGCAGGCTTTGGAAAAAACATCTGTTGAGACAGTAAATATTCCATGTGTAAGCCAGGACTTTATGTTCTGGCTTCAAAACCATGGCATGAATCTGAGTATGAATGACAGTTACTACGTAGAAAACTGATAACTGAAACTTGCAACTACAGATAGCCATTGTGGGTTCTAGATTCCAGGATGAGATTCTGAAGCTGGAGAGAGTGACTAGTTTGAAAGGTGTACAGTGGGTAGAAGAAAATTGGTAACTGGTAAAGCTATATACCTCACGCAGTAGCTGAGTTAGGTTTTTAAGACAGCTCTAAAATATTCTATTTTTGGGGAGAAAATGCTTCCTCCCTGAGGGTTGGAGGCCAGGAATTTAGCAATGGTCATATTCTTTCAGTAGTACAGTAAATGTTGTGATATGCATATCCTATATTACTTCATTACAGTGGAAAGTACTTTTCTACAGCTTCCATCAGAAAATACCCATGTGCTGTGACAACTAAGTGTTATAAAATTTGGGCAGATAGGAACTTAGCTTACCTGAATAGTATTGAGTAAGTCTGGAAGAGGAGTGATGTGAAAAAGGTGTTGGAAAATACTGGTAGCAGAGCATGGGTGGATTTTGAATCCTAAGCAGTTCTGTGCTGTTAGCCCTAAGACTATGACACCTCACAGTTTAAAGGGTAAATTCTTAGTTGAATTGAATACCCTAGTTGTTTAAGGGTTCACATGTGCGCAAGGGGAGAACCCACAACACTGAACAGAAGTTAAAATATTCTTCTGGGATCAGATAACGGTCCTGTGCTTTGCGGTGATACAGGAAAAGCTCTTCCTGCTTCCAGATAAACTGGTCACTACTGATAAAAGTGCCTTTTGTGCTACAGATTGGTGCTAGGCATGTTCTGAGGGCCAGAATGTTAGAGCTTCTTGATCATTAAACTCAAGTCTGTAGGGGAAAAAAAACTTGCCGCAGGTTTAACTACTTGCAAAAATAGTGTCATGTAATATCCTTTGGCTAGTTAAGCAGATAACTCTAGGCATGGAAGCTAGTCTTTTTTCATCATGGGATTGGACAACCTAAGTATTTAATATCTTCTATATCTTTGCTTTTCTGTGTTAGGAATACTAGTTCATGGGTTCAGTAGTAAGAGGTATAGGCTGATTTTTCCATAGTCTTCCCTTTACTCTGTAACTCTTGAACAGAGCTGTGTGATGCTCTGAATGAGAAATGATGAGCCTGTGACTTAATGTTCAAAAATCTTGTCCAAACACTACAAAGAAATTATTCAGCCTAACTATTTCTTCTTTTTATTAGGGATGCACTGAGGGGGGGCACAACTACTTGAATGAGTGTAGCATAAGAATTTCAGCCGGAAACTTGTTAAAACGAAGTGGTAGTTTGTGCGTATACATATATATAAAAATGTAAAAAGCTAGTTGAGTTTTACATTAGAGTATTTTAGGAGCTCGGGTAGTTTTAACCCTTTTCAGGGAATGTATAGGTTTTTTCCCTTCTCCTGCGTCCTGGCAAATGTCTAATATTTATCTTCACCTCATTACAAGATTTTGGCTTTCCCTAAAGCAGAAATTGCCAGCTGCTTTAACATGCAGCTGGTTTGTCTGTGCTGCATGGGGGGGCCCTTATAATTTAGGGTGAACTAGATGATGTAATAGTTTAAATGTTACTAACACCTGTGATTTTTTTGTACAAACTAAAAATACTGTTTTCTTACCAAAGTTGATCTCCTTTTCAAAGGAATCTGATACTAAAAATGCCTGTTTTCATATGCATAGTCAGACTCTGTTTTTAAACTTAGGGAACACGAATGGTTTAAGCAGGACCTTCCCAAATACCTGTTTCCTGAAGACCCATCATATAGCTCAACCATGATTGATGATGAAGCCTTAAAAGAAGTGTGTGAGAAGTTTGAATGCACTGAAGATGAAGTATTGAGTTGTCTATACACCCGAAATCATCAGGACCCTTTAGCAGTTGCTTATCACCTCATTATAGACAATAGAAGAATAATGAATGAGGCCAAAGACTTCTACTTGGCTACAAGCCCACCGGATTCTTTCCTTGATGATCATCATCTGTCTCGCCCTCACCCTGAGAGAGTGCCATTCTTAGTAGCTGAAGCTCCACGTCCTCGACATACTCTTGATGAGCTGAATCCGCAGAAGTCAAAACACCAAGGTGTAAGAAGAGCTAAGTGGCATTTGGGAATACGGAGCCAGAGTCGACCAAATGATATCATGGCTGAAGTTTGTAGAGCAATTAAACAGCTGGATTATGAATGGAAGGTAAGAGAGTAAAGGATCCTAGAACAGACAGCAGTCAACTTTTTTGAGTGACATAGGTAGCCTAGAGGTTTGAATAATTATATTCTCTGCTTCCATACTGGCAGATCATCTGATGTACCTGTGCTTATTCTGACTGTGCTTTAGATCGTTGTGTAAGAACGGTTTTGGGGTGGGAATTTTATCCTGGTAGGAAAAGCCTTGATGATGTGCCTAACCTTTTTACTGGGGCTGTGGGTTTTTCCTCCCCCAACACAGCAATGTCCAGATCCCCCCACCTCCCCCCCCCCCCCCCAAAAAAAAAAAAAAAAACCACCCTCGGATAGACCTGAAATCACCTGTTTGAAACCAGTGAGTTGAAATGGAGGTGGAGAGGAAGCATATGCAGTGCTTTTTCTGGAGGAGTTCTAGTAGAAATTAACTCAAATATCTTCTGTACTAGGTTGTAAATCCATACTATTTGCGGGTTCGAAGGAAGAATCCAGTGACAAGCGCATATTCTAAAATGAGTCTACAGTTGTATCAGGTGGACAGTAGGACATACTTACTGGACTTCCGTAGCATTGATGGTATGTCAAGACTTGCATAACTTACTGCAGTTGTAATGGAAGTCATTCTCAGTGTAAACATGTCTAATCACGTTCCTGAATGGGACTACTACAGTATGGGATGAATTCCATCCCTGTTAGAGGACAGATGAGTGCTTAGAGCTGTGCAGCTGGGGGAGGGCAGCCTGCTGCAGCCAAGGCTTCCACTCTTGGGGAAACGCAACCCAAGATCCAAGATGTGGGTTTGACAACCCTTTTCCAATACTGAAGGCAATTTAAGGTTCCTTTTCCTCTGCCATAGCTAATTGTGCTGTGTTCCTTTTGCCTAATTGTAGTTTGAAATACCTCCTACTGCTGTGAAAGGGCAATCCCTCCTGTGTTCACTAATTACTCTTGGAAATACCATTTTGGTGCCAAGTGGATGTCAAACTAATGTGTCAAACTAATGCACAGTATTTAAAGCAAGAATGGAAGTACTTCAGCAGAATATTACTTGTAAAAACAGAAGTATTTCCTCCTCTTAATGGAGGAAAACTTAAGTCCTTGCAGCCCAAACAAAATATCTTCAGGAAGAATTTGCCAGAGGTGGAGGATAAATTGTAGCAAAAGCATCTGCAGATTTGCAAAATGTTCGAAGTACTATTTTACTTAATTATAAGCAGGGATAGCATCATAAGGTTAAGCTTAAAGATGAGTTAAGTGAACTAGTGAAGCAGTAGAATGCTTAGCCACTGAAATTAGTTCTTTTAAAAGAAAAAAAAAAAGTCAAGTACTGTTGGTCTGAACTAGATCAGATAGCTCTGGAACATAGTTCAAAGGAACTGTGAGCAAAGGAATGGCTTGCATAAGAGGATAGCTTAGATCATAGTTAGGATATAGGGTAACTTAGGAATAGGAATAACTTGCACAGGGGTATCTGCTTTAGTGCTCTTGAGTATGTATAAGCTTTTATTGTAGCAACTGTATACAGTTTGCAGAAACTTTTCACGTATTCATGAAGATTTAAAAAACAAGATTAGAAGTCTGAGAAGGGGAAGATGTTTGCTGTTCCAGTGACTGATTTGATATTGATACCTAATTTATCTCCTCTTTTCCCCCAGATGAAATTACTGAAGCAAAGTCTGGGACTGCAACTCCGCAGAGATCAGGTTCTGTGAGCAACTATAGATCCTGTCAGAAGGATTCAGATGCTGATGCACAAGGAAAATCTGCAGACACATCCCTTACCTCATCAGTGACCTCTTCAGTTGACTCTTCTACAGCTGACTTAACTCCAAGACCAGGGAGTCATACAATAGAATTTTTTGAGATGTGTGCAAATCTTATTAAAATACTTGCACAATAATTTTGAAGATGGGCTTATTTCTTTTACAGCAATAAGCATGCCTAAATCATAGTCAGATGCTTCCAGTTATAATCCAGTTAAATTAAGGCGCTGAAAAAACTAGCCACAAAATGCAGTTTGCACAGGGATTGAAATGATTATGGGCAGTTAGGTATGCTATTCTGAAGCTGGAGTGAATTCTGATCGTCTGCTGTCCAGTAGTTTAATACAGGTACAGGAAATTGCATGCCCTTTGGGCGATGTTCATAACTTTTTATATTGAGTGCACATTAGGCTTCATAGAACATTCAAGTCACAAGGACCTTTTTTGCTGGTGATGCATACATCTGCACTGTAAGTAAATGTACACTTACTAGTTCAGTGACTGAAATATGTCTCGTTGGTCACCATCTACAATTGTGCCTCAGTTGATCAGAACTATCAATTATCTCCTAACAGTAATGTGTTAAAACTGCTGTTACTCCCCCCTTAACATTTGACAGCAAATGATCAAGATTAATGTGTTGAAACTTACTATTTTTAATAACTGATAGATTTGATCAAAGGTATGTGCTGGCCAATTCAGCCAGTTGAAACTTTGTAATGCATGTATCTGCTCTGTAAGCACTAAGGGGGAAATTCTGTGGGCTGTAAGCAGAACAGTTGAGGCCACAGTGGTGGGAAGGGGCTCATACGAAGAAGGCTTGGCACCCCATGGGTTGAAACAAAAAGTTGCTCTGTGGATAACTGTCAGTAAGTTCCTGATCTGTAGAGACTGACTAGCTCTCATCTTACCGTGGCGTCAGCCCAGCAGCTCCCCACTGCTACTGCAGGCTGAGAATGTTATTCGTCAGAGCTATGTGCATGTAGTAATAGCACAGCCTAATAGCCTCCATGCTATTCCAGAATCTAAAATTGACAATTTCTTAAATATGTTAATACTTTTTGATACAGCTGTTTATATCACAAGTCAACATAGCATATACTGTATAGAGTTCACTTTGCAGTTGAAACTAAACATAGGTCAGGTTTTTCTCAAGCCACCTTTATAGCGAAATTTGACACTGAAATTGAGAAACTAATAGTGCAACTGATCAGTTGAATACTTAAAACTGATCATGACAAATAACTTGAGTGCTAATATTGCAAAGTTTTCAACAGTAGATTACAATCCCCGATGACATAAATGTTTCTGCATTTGAAGTTTCTGCGGTGTTTCAGAAAGAAAACTGATCCTAAATGTTAATCATAGCTAGTACTTGCACAAAAGCATTTAAAATCTCTTCTAAAATTGGATGTATTTATCCACAGTTCCTTTGCAATCTAGCACTAATGGATGTAAACATTAAACAGTGAAGTGTATGCCAGAAAACATACTTCGTCTTGCATTCAAGAACAACGATTCTCTTCAAAATAAACTTCATGCCCTACTCAGTTTCAGAGACTGTTCTTGCACTTACAGACTGGAAATGAAGGCATGAACATATAGAGTGAAACTTGGACTCTTGAGATGGATGGGGATTTTTGCTGATGACTTCAGTGAGACGGAGAGTTCATCCATGGCAAAGTGCTAACTACAGATTGTAAGAACAGTTTAACCTAGGACAGCTGGTTTTTAGTCCAGGTAGTCATCTGTTACGAACATGCACAGAATCTGAAGAAACTGTTTAAGCCCCAGGGAATGTTATAACTGCATTCTGAACTAGGCAATTGCCTGGTCTGTCTAGTACCTAGGTACAAGTTAAGACTTCAATCCCTTGTGCTGAAGTAGTGTTGCATATGGTCCCTGTAATGCAAGGTTATACTACTGTATCCCAAGATGGAGAGCTTTCTTTTAGATAAAGCTTTGCGTTTATACTGCTGGGATTGAGGTAATCAGCATGAGGGACCAACTGCAAATTCTACTTTTGAGTCTTTTTCAGTCTTGGTTCTGATGTACTGAAGAAATCATTGTGATCCTTTTTGTTACCCTTTATTTTGAAATTGTTAAATATTGCACTTGTACAAATATAACGCGCACAGATTTTTTTTATTGCAGTAAATCCTCATCTGGAATTGGTTTGGGATCACTGAAGCTGTCTCTTGCAGATGTTAGACTAAATATTTAAAAGATATCTGCTCCTGGTTTGCAAATTTGTCATGCTGACCACAAATGCAAAGTGTCAAGGTGCAAATAGCTTTTAATACTTATATACTTTTTTGGCCCTCTTGTGCTTTAAGACAACCATGGTTTTTATTTGTCCTGGGAGCTGGAGGTTAAAATAAGTTTCTGGCAGGAATGGACTGTATGCATAGCTTTAAATAGGGTAAATTTTATTGGTATGATCAGTTTTGATGGCCAGAAGTTTTCTGATGGAACTGCGTCTTTTTATACTGGGTGGGGGAGGGAGAAAGGGGGACTGACAACCTATTTGAATTCAGCACAGTTGTTTGTTGCACAACTTTCTTACGCTTTTTAGGTCGTGGTGTTGAAACTGCTTTCTGCAGATGTTCCTACTGACCTTTCAGACCTTTTTTAGGCAACATATTAGTATCTGCCAGTAGGCTGTGAAACAAACTTTCATTGAGAAATCTGGCAGGGCTGTAAGGGGACAGCTTATGCAAATATGCAAATTGGTCAAGTACATTACTCTGAATTCTCAACCTGACTCCAGTTGGCGTACATTGAATTATCTTGCCTTTGTATTGTAACTTTTCAAAAAGATGGATATGTCTGATTGTCCATATGCAATATAACTCATTAGATAAAGAACATATATTCATCTTGGTGCAATATTTAAACTCTCACATATGTCTTGACATGCGTGTTTAATACAGACTTGGACATTTATTTTACCAGTTGATTACCATTGTAAGATATGAAGTCCTGTTCTTTAACAAAGATGTGCCTACTTCCTATGTTGATTTTTTTTTTTTTGGACAAAGCTGAATGCAAAAATGCTTGTTTATAACTGTATGACTTTTTAAACTTTCAAAACTTAAGTAAACATAAAATACTTAACCATCTTGTTTGGAGCTGTGTGCATGCTGTCTAGTTCTAGTGTTTGTATACTAACTTCTGACATATATAATGGTTGCTACACTTAATGTTTAAAAGTGACATTAAGAGAAAAAGGTTGAATTAATAGAATAACTAATACCATGACCATTAAAGGAACAAGATATTGCCCGGTGTATGGGCCAAAGAATTCCCAGTTATGGATGTTAGCTGCCACCAACTGTGCTAGCTTTGCAACTGAATGACCCTTTTCCCTCACGTCCCATAAACCCTGCTACTGCAAACGGAGCATTGGAGATGAAAGTAATGCTTCAGCTTTAAATAGTGTACAAGTCCTTTATTACTCTGCCATGACTAGTAAGACTCACCTTATGCTATTTTGTATTTTTACCGTGTGCCATCATTCTTGTTGTCTGCCCTTAGAGCTAGGGCTCAGTTGTGCCCTCTATCCTCTTTCTCCTCCTTGTGTTTCCTTATTCTGGGTTTTCCTTTGTATAGTGTTTCCTGTTAAGAAATAATTCCATCTTGAATGAGATGATTGGTAGCAAAAGTAAGATTATTTTTACAGCTTGCAGAGCGACACTGGGTTCCACCATGTTTCATCTGTACCTTTACTGCATTTGCCTTGCTAGGTGCCCATTGCTAATAAGCCATAACCACACCGACAGTTGCCTATTAGCTCTCCTTTACCTTTCCCGAAGTAACATTTGTTCTGTACTGAGCGATGTGGTGTGTTACGTGCTCCTGTAAAAGGCTCAGGGCCAGGTCAGCCGCTGGGTGCATCGCCTGTCCAGCACCGGGCCCTGGCAGCAGGGCTGGCTAACTGCGCTGATCTTACCCTGTTCATACATTCTCTGTAAATGTCAGTTTAATCCAGGTTCATATATTTTAGCCCTTTCGTCTGACCTAGAAAGGTGCTTTTCTGAGGTGATGCAATGAGTTAAGCAAGGCTCTGCCCCGAGCCCGGCGGCCGAGGGGGGCCCCGGAGGCGCGGCCTCGCCACCAACG